AAGGGTAGTATGTAAGTTGGGAAAATTTCAACATTAGATTATCAATCTATAGACTGATTATATTAAATATGTTTAAAATTGGGAGTTCCTAAGAATAGTAGTGACAGAGGGAAACAGAGAGAGAAAGAGTGAAAAGTGAAGAGAGAAGAGGAGAAGGGAAGGGAAGGGAAGGGAAAGATACTTGTCTTTCGGAAACACATCAACATATCTTGAGATAAAATGATATAAAAACAGGGATTTGCTTAAATTAATCCAGTGGAAAGAAATGGGGTGGTGGGTAAGAAGTAGGTGTGAACATGGACAAAGAAAATTCACTGGGCTGGGGATGTGGCTCAAGCGGTAGAGCGCTCGCCTGGCATGCGTGCGGCCTGGGTTCGATCCTCAGCACCACATACCAACAAAGATGTTGTGTCCACCGAGAACTAAAAAATAAATAAAAAAAAAAAAAAAAGAAAATTCACTGAGGTTATCATTGTCGAAACTGAGTCACATATAAACAGCAAGTAGTTCTTATTGTTATTTTCCTTGCTTTTGTATCTGTTCACATTTTTAATAATGCAAATTCTAAAGATCCTCATTTTGAGTAGGCAGAACTAACTTGGAAAAATGACTAATTGTAGGTTTTGGGAAATTGACAAGATTTTATTATACCATAAACCAAGAAAGTTATTAAAGACTTTTGGGATTATGTTGCAAGAACTTCATAGTCTAATTGAAGAACCCACTAGCCAATTTGGGCAGAAATAAGAATAATATATATATATATATATATACTTTTACTAGTATAAAAAAGTATATCCAATATGTTTAAACCCAGAAATATGTAATGATTTTAAACAAATGAGACTTCACTATTTTCCTTTGGAGGATGCTGGAGAAATAATTCATTATTTTTAGAAATTCATTATTTTTAGAAATTTCCCTGTAAAAACAGGGAAAGATTTAAGCACGTGTCTCATCTTTCTATATAGCTATAACTCAGGGTAACAGGGTAACCAAATATTTCCCAAGGCGAAGTTACGGTTCTTAGAAGTACCCAGCTAGTAAAGGTAGAAGGCATGAAATTAGCCTTCTACCTTTAGAAGGAATTAGCATATCAATATTTTGCAACCCTTAATAAAATAAGAGATCTAGACAGGAAGTATAAGAGACAAACATATTAAATATCATCATAACCATTGCAATTAGCAAAGTTCAGATTGAGTAACCCTATTGACAGATGATTTTCTTTCCCTTTCTCCAAATAAAGAAGGACAAGGAGGGAGACAATCTATAGTTTACAAGACGTTTCAACAATTAAATTTTATGGACAGCATGTGGATCCTATTCCAAAAGTATTTTTTCATGAGTTTGACAATTAAAAGCAAGGGACATTGATGCATACCACCTGTAATCCCAGCTACTCAGGAGGCTGAGGCTGTAGGATCAGGAGTTTGAGATCAGCCTGGGCAATTGAGTGGACCCTGTCTCAAAACAAAGTAAAACAAAACAGAAATCAAAAACAAAAATTTGACAATTAGAGATATTTGAACACTGAATATTTGGAAAAATTGTTGCTAAGTTTTTTAGTATTTGAATTTTTTAAAAAACAAAGTAGTCTTCATCTTTAAATATATATACACACACACACACACACACATATATATAAAGAAGTATTTATTTATATCATGATATGAGTCTGGGATTTGTTTGACAATAACCCAGAAGATGAGGTAGGATATGAATGAATAAAAATTGATCCCAAGTTGATAACTATTGAAACCAGATGATAGATGCATGGGGATTATGATTTTTTTCCTGCCTATTTTTGTCTATGTTTAAAACTCCCATCATAATGTTAACAATGACAGCAGCAACAACAACAACGAAACCCAAAGATAAGGCCCAGAGACCACACAACTAATTAGGGACAGTCAGACCTGAGCCTGGACTCTGGACTTCCAATCAAATACTCTTTCCCTTATAACAAGCTGTTTTGCTGAGAAGCCAAACTTCTGGGGTACCAGATACGTGCCCAAAGCTTGACAAGCCAACAAGTGCACTAGGGAACACACTGTGGTGCGATCAAATACTCATACAAGCAGCTCATCAGCAAGCAGCCAAGTGGCAAATTGGGATTGACTGGGAGTGCAGAGCAGCTGTTGACTTTTGAAGTACTGCCCAGAACTCTTGGCTTGTCCTCACTTGGTCTTTAAGGGAGCCATTTCAAAAGCAACCCAGACTTCAGAATGCCCAAACATAGTTGAAAGTCAGCTTCATCTGTTGCTAGATTTTTCTTGATCACATCACAAGAATTAGTTATTGCTGAGATCCATATAGTCTGACTGGCACAGGGGTCTCATGACCATGAGGTGGTAGCTGAGGTCACAATGCCTGGGCACCAAAGATTAGAGAATAGTTAGTTTGAAGTGTCATTTCCACATTGTTCCAGGCAGCTGTATGACTAGACACTAAAACTGAGACACTACGGCTGTGGCTCTGGCATTGTTGGGATACCTGGGCTGGTGAGTAGGTTTGTGGGCATCTAAAAAACAAATGAAGATCATACTGAAAATCAGAAAGGTGATAAAGTGGCAGTGGCAGCTGCATGAAACCAGGAAAAGGGCACAGAAATCTTTCCAAGAAGAGAGACATTGGACCAATATGTAAATGCAGCTAGCTAGGCAGATGGTCGCTGCCTTTTTGCAGTATCCTGATTTCTGGGTTTTGTTTTATGTTCACAGGTTGAAGATCTCCTCAAAGGTCATTTGTGGCACAGAAAACCAGGGTGAAATTTTTTTATTCTCAGTACGAATACTCTGATTCCTCCATAACCAATATTCAAGCAGTTGCTCCTATTTCAATTGCTTTTTCCTTTCCAGTGTTCATTCCCATTTTTCTTTCTAACAGCACCCTATACCTCTATTAAAAATGATCCCTCCCCCATGTGCATCGGTGTTGGAATTATTAATCAAGTGGGCATGGTTTGACCCATGTATGCTAATCTGACTTCCTAGTGGGATATTGCAGTTGTGATTTACCACAATAGTGACCTCAGAGTGTCTATGGGGTCAAGCTCTTCAGAGCTCTAAAACTTTCCTTCTCAGAAGCCTGTCCTTTCAAAGGCCAGAATCTTTTCTTCATTCCTGGGACTTGTCTATTTTCTGTAAGATTCTCTTTTTTGCTTAAGTTGGAATTGGTTTATGTTGCCCACAGCGGGACCTAGATGCCATTTTGTCCATGCGTCTCATCTAGGATCTAAAAGAGAACAAATCAAAGATATTAAATATTCATTTACTATGGGGGACAACAATTTTTCAGTGCTACCTAACTGAAGTTATTTGCATACGTGTACATAGCATTCTTCTATGCTCTTTAACTCGTTCCTTTGTCTCCGTATTTTTTTTTATTAGTGCATTTTAATTGTATGCAATGGTGGGATTCATCATTACATATTTATACATGTACTTGGTATAATGTGATCAATATCATTTCCCATTGACTTGTTTTTAACAAAAAGCCATTTGGCACGAAATGTTGGTGTGTTTTTGGTTTTCCTTTTCCTTTGGGGGGAAAAAATCATAAAATATTTTATTTTTTTAAAAAATATTTTCTTTAGTTGTAGGTGGACACAATACCTTTATTTTATTTATGTGGTGCTGAGGATGGAACCCAGGGCCTCACACATGTGAGACAAGCGCTCTACTACTGAGCCCCAGCCCGAGCCCCAGCCCCATATTGTTTTATTTTTAAAGAGCACATTACAACATACCAATATGACTTTCATATCTTTCTCCTAGGTCTTCTGAAGAACTAGACAAACTTAGCGATACATAGTATTAATAGCATGAATCTAAAGTAGGATGAATATCCTTAAAGTCCAAGAAAGTTCACAATGCTCAAAATTCATATGCTCCTCAATTCTTTTCATCTATACTTTCAAAAAGAGATTTCTTCAAAATTTTTTCCATGAAAAGAAATTATAGTCTGTATAAATTGAGTGTAAGTTATGTGATGCACACTTTTGTTGTTGTTGTTGTTTAGATACTCACTAGACCCTAAGATGAGTTAAGACACTTCTTGGGCATGGAGAGAGGGGAATGGGCTTCTTACTGGGGCAATGAGCCTTCTTATTCACAGGTAATGCTTGAACCCTGGAAGATGGAGGGCCACCTTAGCCTTCAGGGAGGAATGAAGTAGAACTCTGGAACTTTTCCTTTTCTTAGGTTCATTCACAAAGGTCCATTCTGGCTTTCTGACTCCCTGTTATGGACTGAATTGTGTACCCCAAAACTTCTGTGTTGAAGTTTTAATTTCTAGTGTGACTGATAAGGCCCTTAGGGAAGTATTTAATAACAAATGAGGTTATAAGGTAGGACCTTCACCCATATGAGGAGAGGAAGAGACACCAGAGGTCTCTCTCTCTTGAGGATCTCCTCAAAGGTCATTTGTGGCACAGAAAACCAGAGTGAAATTTTTCTATTCACACAGAGGAATGATTATGTGAGGACAAGACCTGAGGGTGACCAAAGTCTGCTAGCCAGAAAGAGAGCTCTCATCAGAAACTAACTCCGACAGTATCTTCATCTTGAACTGTGAGAAAATACATTTCTGCTGTTTCAGGCACCTGGTCTCTGGTATTTTGTTATGGGAGCTTGAGCAGACAGTACTCTCCCTGCATATGTTCTACAGTGCCATCATATATGGCTTCACTTTTCAGTTTCAGTTACCTCACTCAACTGTGATCCAAAAATATTTATAGAAAATTCCAAAAATAAATAATTTATAAGTTTTAAATTGCCCACCATTCTGGGTAGCATAATGAAATCTCAGGTGACCCAGCTCTATCCTACCCAGGACACAAATCATTCCTTTGTTTAGGATGTCCAGGCTATATTTATGACTCACCCATGTCAGTTAGAGAGGGAGAAATACCACATTCATTTAATCTTTATTATAGTGTATTGCTATAATTTTGTTCTGTCTTTTTTTTTACTAGTTATTATTGTTAATTTTTCACTGTGTCTAATATATAAGTTTAGTTTTATCATAGGTATTTATGTATAGGAAGAATATATAAGATCTGGTACTGTTTGCAGTTTTAGGCACATACTGAGGATCTGGAATGTATCTTCCATGGATATGTAGGGGGACTACTATACACGGTATTTCCACATATACCTCTCATGGGCTCCAACAGCCTATGATTCTCAGGTAAGATCTATTTAACATTTCTGTCAATACTCCAAATTGACAGACTCTCAACTCCCTTTCTCCTTTACATCATTTATTCCTCCCTGCCTACATGCCATGACTGGCACCTAGCTGCGCCTATGCTCTGTGACTACATACAGTGTGGCCCCCATGATGCTTCTGCTACAGTCCCAGGTAATCACCATTGCTGCTTTCTGGCATTTGAATGGTGGTGCTTACCTGCTCTTCATGTCCAAGACTTTAGGAACAGTCTTTGTGCTTTACCATCAGCATCTCTTGTCATTCTTGTATAATTTTATGACAGTAGCCTTTATCCTATTAGTATACCTTCCTGTTCTCTCTCTCTTTCTCTCTCTCTGTCT